CCCCCCGACTGAAAGGGCGAGCATGTTTGGTGGTACGGGGATGCGAACTCGCGACCCACAGATTGCGAGACGAGAGTCCTAACCACCTGGCCATGCCGGGCCCTTATGTGTTGATCCCACCGGTAGTGAGTGTTATAAAAACAAGTCGATGATTGAACGGTAAAGAATATTTAATCGGATTATGACAACTATCTGTTGTATATCCCGACGATTCTGGTTTGTTTATTAATAGCCAACTGAATCTTTGTTTTGATGACGCAACATTTCTTGTTGTTAATAGTGCCGTTTGTTTGTGAATTTCTGAGGATCGCGGGTTCGAATCCCCGTCACACCAAACATGCTCGCCCTTTCAGCCGTGGGGGCGTTAAAATGTGACGGGCAATCCCACTATTCGTTGGTAAAAGAGTAGCTCAAAAGTTGGCGGTGGGTGGTGATGACTAGCTGCTTTCCCTCTAGTCTTTCACTGCTAAATTAGGGACGGCTAGCCCTCGTGCAGCTTTGCGCGAATTTCAAACCAAAACCTTGTTTCGTCACTTTTGTGTATATTATTCATCGCTGGTACTGTTTGTTTCAAAGGAACAATTACGTGGAAAATTCAGAATTATTAATTTGCCACATTTGTTTAATGTCACTTTTGACAGTCACTTGTCATTCAGGACAACAGAAAGTGAATTGTCACGGAATGTTATGCTGAACGTTATCTACTCATAGTCGTCCCTAATTGGTGAACTGATAGACTAGAGGGAAGGCAGCAAGTCAACAGCACCCGCCGCCAACTATCGGGCTTCTCATAGTGGGATATAATCGAAACTCCTATTGCACATCCACGGCCAGAAAGTGCGGAATTCCTTTTTGCGGCAGTTGGTCACGAACCATGAATCCTCGGGTCCACAGTTTGAGCATACTTTCTACTATGTCCCGCCCGGTCCGTATTCGAAACATAACAGGCTGTATCAGGAGACACAATTTCGACCAAAACTGGATGAAAATTAAAATAAACTTTTTTTTTTTTTTTCCATTTGTATTACTTAACGTTGACTTTTATCCATATACATTTTAAATATAAACACCGGTGTTATTTTACGATTAATTCTTATGTATTTATTTTAACAGTCTATCCTTTACGAAACTCGAATATTTGAAACAGAAATTATTTACTCATTATTCAGCGGAGTTAATGCAGTCTTGAATTCACTCATGTTTATTTGTGTTGTAACATAAACATTATTTTTGCAAGTTTTTTTTTTCACTCAATGGTTTAGTTTGTTTTGCTTTCGTGCAAAGCTACACGATGGCTATCTTTGCCAGCTGTCCCTAATTTATAAGTGATAGACAAGAGAGAAGGCAGCTAATCAACACCACCCACCGCCAACTTTTAGGCTACTCTTGTACCAACGAATAGCGGGATTGACCATCACATTATAGCGTCCCCACGGCTGAAAGGGCGAACTTGTTAGGTGACGGAGGTTCGAACCCACGACCCTCAGACTTCGAGTCGAGTGACTCAACCGCCAGACTTACACTCAGTAATAAACTTCTATAGCGTGGTCTTCCGGTGATTCAGCAGTAAGAATTGTAGCTTATGGAGATGAAATTCGAAGTTCGATCGTTGCGTGGGAACAGTATCGATGGTGTGCAGATTGGCGCATGACGACAAACAAAAGTTAGGGTATTAAAATTTATCTAACTCTGGAGGTACAGATTAGTTCCGTTATATCAAATATAACCTCAGTGGACACTCTTCAAGTTTTATGTAGAAGTGTTATTTTAATTACTTTAAACCCCAATTCATATAAATTTTATTTGTTAGGCAAGATTAGTATTGCAAAACCTGAATAACGTGTACACGTTGTTTTCATTTTAGTAATTTGGATTATATTTTAATTAAGTTTTCTTTTTAAGCAGTATTATTTACTGACCCCAATATCTTGGGTTTCATTATGATGTTCATAAAAAATGTATCCAATATGCAATATGGCAGCGTTTCTCAAACTTTTGTCATCCACGCCCCCTTTTGTAAGTATGGTTTCTGTTTTGTTTTATGAGTAAAAGAGTGAATTAATACACGGATACAGATTAAAATGCTGTGTTGCAGTAATTACTTATTATTTTCTTTGATAAAAGTTTATATTAAAACGCGTAATTTTCCATGTTTGTGCTATTAACTGTACCCTAATCGCTTCCTTCCCCTACCAAAGAGATCATTTGCGTCCCCTACTTTGGAAAACGCTGCAGTATGAAACGCTAACTTCAAGTGATAAGACATACTTTAAGAGCGGTAACTTTTAATTTTTATAACCTCCGTTCTCTTTCTGTGATTCCCACAAGTGGCTGTAGACGATCAGTGGTAGATGCTGGTGTAATACTTTGTCGGCTTGGATATCCATGTATGTTATAGTCTGAAGCTCGCTAATAGAGGTTTAACCTGATAAACTGTGTATCCCTACTGTGAAGTTCTTGCTCTTTGGGTAACTTCCTAAGCTTTTCCTTTTTCCACAACCTGATAAACTGTGTATCCCCACTGTGAAGTTCTTGCTCTTCGGATAACTTCCTAAGCTTTCCCCTTTTCCACAACCTGATAAACTGTGTATCCCTACTGTGAACTTCTTACTCTTCGGGTAACTTCCCAAGGGGTACGTTTTACCTTTTCCACATCCTGATAAACTGTGTATCCCCACTGTAAACTTCTTACTCTTCAAGTAACTTCCTAAGGGGGTACGTTTTACCGTTTCCACCTTGAACTTTATTTATTTGTTTGTCCTATATGTACGATGCAATTTGTTTTTGGCCTAGTTGTTTAAAATCAGTTTATGTATACCGTGTATTTGTGTGTGTGCGTACACTCTGTCAAACATGCACAACGCCAAAACTTATAATCTCTGTATGATCGGTGTGAAAAGAGATTTTCTCTTTTCTTTAGGGACAGAATCTACTCTGTTTGTATACAAGAACTTCTGAAGACCATAAGGATTGGAAGGAGGCCCTAAGCTCCTGTGTTCAGTCGTGTTCTTTAAACATGGAAGGATTGAATTTGGAGTATGGTGATATGAAAAGAAGAACAGAATGTAAGAGTAGTTGTTGATGAAATAAATCTGATTTCAAAAATATAAATTGAAACTACACTATATAGAAACGTTTAAAGCCAGGATCAGATTATTTAAATAAATAATATTGTCAGGTTTTAAATCCAGAAGCATTTATAAAAACTATTGCTACGCCTTCAATACAAAATAAAACAGTTACCACTCTGTTTTAAAATACAAGAATCAAGCATTCTAACTCGTTGTTTAAGAAACAGCCCGTGAATGTAAGTTTTACCACAGGTGCACTGAAAATCTTAAGTTTTACTCAGGAAAGTTTGAACATGATACATTATGTTTCAAAAACTCTTATAGAATATAGTTAATACTTGAAACCGTCGGTACGTGATGAAACTCCATAACTACAGAATTGAGGTAAAGACAATTTTACGTTTCACAAGAACGTCATTTATTAACGAACAGTAAAGGCACCATCAGATACAGACTGTACCTGATAAAATTGTCTTGGTTTTGTTTTGTTCTGTTACAGAACACGTTTGACATACTTTTCCGTCTTTCCCAATCAGCTTATCCATAAATGAACTTATTACAAGCATTATATGTTCTGCAATATCATAAACTCTAACAAACAACCTATAAAAATTATCAACCTTTTAATGTTGAAAGAAGAGGGATAAAAGCAATGCTAGCTTACAAGGAGAGCGATTCCGGTGTGTAAGTATAACATAGTTACGTGTTCAAACTTTCGAAAGTGACAAAAAAGTATGATTACCTCTGATAAACTTTACTTCCACTAGGGCCCCGGCATGGCCAGGTGGTTAGGACGCTCGACTCGCAATCTGCAGGTTCGCATCCCCATCCCACCAAACATGCTCGCCCTTTCAGCCGTGGGGGCGTTATAATGTGACGGTCAATCCCACTATTCGTTGGTAAAAGAGTAGCCCAAGAGTTGGTGGTGGGTGGTGATGACTAGCTGCCTTCCCTCTAGTCTTTCACTGCTAAATATACGATCTCTATATCTCTGCGGCCCGGCATGGCCAGGTGGTTAGGGAGCGCGACTCACAATCTGAGGGTCGCAGGTTCGAATCCCCGTCCCACCAAACATGCTCGCCCTTTCAGCCGTGGGGGCGTTATAATGTGACGGTCAATCCCACTATTCGTTGGTAAAAGAGTAGCCCAAGAGTTGGCGGTGGGTGGTGATGACTAGCTGCCTTCCCTTTAGTCTTACACTGCTAATTTAGGAACGGCTAGCGCAGATAGCCCTCGTGTAGCTTTGCGCGAAATTCAAAACAAACAAACTACCACTATGTCAAGACAAGTAGTTTTAAAGATGTAATCACTTCAAGTGTAGAGTTGTTTTTATAATCACCATGTACAATTAATGTTATAAACTCTGCACGGTTGGGTAGACTTCCTAATTATTTGACTAGCTGACTCAGGATCGTTCTGCGAGTAAACTTTTAATAAGGAAAAACTATGATAACCGAACCTGTGGTTATGTATATAATAACAATGATTTATCTCTGAAGCATCCATAAATGAAAACCAGTTATTTATAAGGTCAAGGTTTATGCTGTTGAGTGCACGTTAAAAAACAACAATGAAAAAGAAGGAAATAAAAGCACGGAATGACCAATTTCATTGTTAAACAATGTGAAAACATAACAATTAAAATCTATGTTATATTTCATAAATAACCACTTGCTCCTAGTAGTTGTCCTTGTTATATTAGTGTAAGAAAAAGTGAAACACATAACGAAATTCATTATATAATACCAAATATAAGATTTTTTTTCTCTTTTTCTCCATTCCTGTGAGCTTGGATTTGTTTGTAGTAAAGCACAAAGCTATACAAAGGGCTATCTGTGCTCTACCCACTAGGGGTATCGAAACCCGGTTTCTAGCGTTTTAAGTCCACAGACATACCGCTGTGCCATTGGAGTCTGTGAGTTTGGAGTACAATTTAATTTGAGCTTTAACTCACTTCAGCTGTTGAGTGAATTCAAGACCAATAGTGTAAACACGTGACTAGATTTCTGTCTTTTTCTCTTAAATTGACATTTTTGGTACACTTTCGATGCCTTTAGTCTTTTATATATATATATATTTACAAAATGATTATTTCAGCCTATTTTTCATTAATGAACGTGTTATTGAGATTTTCACATGAAAAGAATCTGGTTACGCTTATTGTAAACCATAATGTTTAGATAGCAAACGAGCAATTATAATATTTTTATTTCGGGGGTGTAACGATAGATGGCTCTCATAAACAATGAATTCAAATCTATTAAAACTGTTTTTCAATGCAGTTCTCTAGCAGTTCTTTCTTACGTCATATGTAGTCTTTTTCATAACAACTGCAAGACTGAAGATTAGCAAAACTTAGAAGTGTTGAGAGCTATCGAATCTGAGGTGTGATATTAGCGGAAAAAATACCTGATTTGTGTCCTCCTCCCCCTACTCTTTTTTCCAGTCCTTTTCTCACTGAAACTGAAAATGTTGTAGTTCAACAATAGAAAAGAATATATAGATATAACTTATAGGATTCCATCTTTATGCCCCCCAATGGCACAGCGGTATGTCTGCGGACTTACAACGCTAGAATCCGGGTTTCGATACCCGTGGTGAGCAGAGCACAGATAGCCCTTGTGTAGCTTTGTGCATAATTAAAAAACAAACAAACAAACAAATCCATCTTTACATAAATATTTAATGTTTCTTACTAATTGGTCACTAAACTATTGTATACAAATTTATTTTTTTCTTCTTACCGTTTAAAAAAAAAATGCCTGATTTAATATCCATAGTAAGTTAAATGATTCATCGTGATACTCTATACTTATTGTTATTATTATTAAATTAATTCAGGTTTTGGTTTAACCTATTGCTATAAATATATCGCACAGATTTCTGAAACTGTAGCCCAAGAAACCTTACACTTTTTTCATCACTATGTTTTCTTTTATTTCGGTGGAACTTCAGCAAAAAACAAACACTAATTATATAGTGGTGTGAAAACTCGTATAATCTACCATTTTATTGGCACGTGATTTACGTAAACACTTTCTTTTACGGAGTAAGTTAATCAAAGTATTCTCTTCAACTCCTGCAATAGTTAGGATTTTGTAAACAAACTAAATAGGGGCAAACCCTGTGGGCAAGTCGATACTTCTGTTTAGCAGATTAGCTTTATCATCAGATATATTTGATACAGTGAAAATATTTTATTAACTTTTACATTTTTCACTAGACTTCTGTCCCCCCCCCTCCAGTGACACAGTGGTATGTCGTCTGGTGGGCAGAGCAAAGATAGCCCATTGTGTATCTTTGTGCATAACTTAAATCAAACAAACAAAAACTAGATTTCTACGTGTGTATAAACTCGACGTTATTTGCCAACTTTGTCTGTTCT